GCTCAGTAGGTGAGAAACGTTTATCTTTAACCATAACACACGCTGTTTACTCAACCAGCTCACTTTCTCTAGACCGTGTTTCTGTTTTGTTTCTACAGCTTCTATGAGAAGGTTGGTGTGAAAACTGTGAAAGCTTTGAAGAGGAATAATGAAGCCGTGACTCACGCCGCTGTCGACATGCTGTGTGCTCTGATGCAGGAGAGGGCTTTCCTTTAAGCGGCCAAAATGGTCAGACCGGTCATATTTAAATTTAAAATAGAGTTCGTTAAGAATATAGTTGCGAAATTTCCGCTAGACAGATGCAAGTAACGATATACTTGAACGCAGAGTTCTTGAAACACTCTAAAATACCAGTAATCTGTCTGTACCGAGATCAACAATAGGACCGGTCTGGCCGTTTTTCCGTATAAAGGAAAGCGCCAACACTTTAACGATGAATTTCCTGGTAATATGTTGCCAAATCTGTCACTGTCATTAGTGTTCCCTTTAACTTGCAATCCACATAAACTCAGCCAACTTTGAAATCTGAATGTTAACAGGATCCAATTTTATCGAAACCAATTCTGTTTTTTATATAGCCAACGCACGATAACTATGACATTCGAAAGAACAGATAAACAAAAGCTCTTTGTTATCCTCTGAAAAATTTCTAAGCAGTTTGTTGGAAATTCTCACGATAAATGTGGTAAGATGTGCGGTGTTGGTTGCCTATAATCTATGCTGAACCCTTGCATTTTATTTTTCCATCCCTCTTGTATGTATATAGCTTTGTTTTGGAAGAGAAATTCCCTTGCAAAACCCAGCAAGTGATTCGTAGCAACTGCCTTTCTAATTTGAACTACCTTTCTAACTAAACACAAGAAATAGATTAACCATGAAAACTTTTCTTCTATATTCGTTCTACTGGGGTTTTAGTTATAAGTGGATTGCTTGATTTTCTGACGTTTGCTCTTGTTCCTCCTTACAGTTTGTTCTAGTTGCTTTGCAATATATTAAAATAATACGGGGGTGAAGTTGGACATTCATGTAAACTAATAGTAAGGTGTGATTGCTTCCAATATTTTGAATCAACTCAATGTAGTCTGTTACAATAAATCGACTATTGCATATTCCTCTTAGTGAGACAACAGATGATGAACAGTTTGGGAAATTACTGGAGAAAGTTGCAGGTATGCTACAAAGAAATTTGAGGAGCTTTTTTTCAACTTGTCTTCTTGGTAGTTTATGGCTCTTTTACTGAGGTTGAGAGTTGATTAAATAGCCTTCTCTCTTTACCTTTTTGGTGAAGTTTACCACGTCCACTAGCTTGACCCATGCATAGGAGCAACTCATGAAGTCTGTTATTTGTTTGTCTAGAAATGGGTCATTGCATTTATCGATTGTTCCAGGTAGGTTTACGACAAACTAAATAATAGTACCAATTTTTACCATTTCTTCGCTTATGTATGTTTTACTATTGCCCCGCTAATGGTTCTTACCAATCGTGGTTTTGAATTCGTTCTTCAACAATTTAGCATCCGTCGACAACAATTGTGAAAGTGCTGGCATGGTTCTGAAGGCGATAATCGAGGTACGTTTTATTCATTCATTCATCCATTGAGAATTTTCTGCCTTTGACGAACGTCATTTATAACGCTCTGCATTTTTTTAGCCGTGATGAATGTACATATTAGTTCAGTTGATATTTAAGAGGTTTTAAAGGGTCTTAATTTTGAGAGGTATATACACACTTCAAATCAAGCCAGGAACAGATGACGGAAAAATGAGTGAACTATAGATCCTCCGGCGGGAATCGAAACCTACGCTTTTGCGATGCCGGTGCAATGCTCTTGTCACTGAAGACGTACAGTTGACTCATTTTTCCATCAACTGTTCCCTGCTTGAATTTGAAGTGCGTATAATACCACTCGAAATTAAGACCCTTTAAACCTCAAGAATATTCCTGCATCGTGTGAAGTGCCTAAAATCATCTGTTAATATTTAGTTAGAACTTCACTTTAGGAAGCTGATGAAGAACCGCGGCAAAAATACAAGTTCTGGCGCTTGCCGAGGCGCTCTACCAAAACGCTTACGCATGGCCATGTTTACGCAAAGCACTGATAAAACGTTCGCTATTGAACAGGTGCAAATTAGTGTGATAATTAAACAAAATTGTTGCAGAGGTATAGCCTCTATTCCATCCGCAGGACCAGAGTTGTATTTTAGCAACATTCTCAGATTCATCTTAAACTTGTGATTTTATAATCCTCTATATACTAGCTATCTGTAAATAGTTCAATTGAGACTAACAAGCATACTCCATAAGTATTTTTTAATCATTATTGTTGGCATAGCATCATCCAACAGCAATGGCATTACTTGCGAGAATAATGTTCGTATTAAAGTAGTTATAGTTTTTAATGTCTAAAATATACAAGAAAGTTTAAATGCGAGATTTCTTGTTCATAATTTTTGGTTCATAAACAATTATGTAATAAATTTGAATACGATTTTCACAGCCTGCTGGTTTGCTCTATTACCTTGAAAGCCCTGACGAAGTAAGAAATCTTTGAAAACTTTTTTGCGAGGGCCATTATTTACATAAACCCATTGAGGTGATTCTGACTAACCAATCGTATTCATGACTAAGTGGTATCAACTGCTTTGGTAACTAAACTCCATCATTCATCCTTAAACTGTGCCAACTGCCCCACTGAGGAAATAATTAAATGGTAATTCATTCAGAAGTGTAAAACCTTTTTGTAAAGAAACAATTTTGTTAGAAAGTTTTTATCTTTCCTTCAGCCACCAGAGACTGAAGAAGATCGTTTATCAATTCGTGACAATGTAAAGCTTGCAGAAGTACGTTTTAAATCAACAATCGTGTTCCAAAATTTCATAATGCATGCTTGCATGTACGTATAAGCCTGTTATTTCACGTGCTATACTTGTGTCTTAGAGCTCTGGAAAAACGAGGGGAACGTTGAGGAATCAACTTGAAGGATATCTCTCACATTGGAGGACAAAAATAAGATTCAAATCCAGGAAAGATGTGAGAATTTAAATCCAGTTTTTTTATTACAAGTAAGTGTTCGTATTAAGAAAATGGGAAAATGTTTTAGTCGTTTGAAAGATGAAAAAGCAATGATATTTAAGCGGATCTTTTTTACAGATTCAGTCAAGATCTGACAGCGTACAACCTGATTTGGAATTACAAGGTGAGTCTCGAAGTTAAGGTTAGTTTCCGTTGAAAATATAGGATATGGAAATGTAATGGAGGATTTCCTGTCGCTATGAGTATAACAAGACAAATTCAATAGTCCTGACCTCTTTCTCTAAACTGTTCTCGTAAAAGAGTATGAAACAATTTCTTATGTTTTTAATGTGACAGACGCGAGAGGAACTTCTGGGGCACTCGAATCTGATTTGCACGCATTTGCAATGGAAAAAGATCTGAGTGGAAACTACGTTGTCTTTTGGAATCACCTTTAGTTTGAAGTCCTGTATGAATGTTTAGCTGATGAACTGAAACAGGTTATTGATAAGCCTAACTGCTCTAGCTTTTTAACAGTTCTTCATAAAGCGTCCCCCCCTTATTCCTCGATAGGAATCAAACTCAGTAACGTATCTCTGCTATCAGGTGACTATTATTTGAGAGTCTTGTTGGAACAAAAACGACGAGGAGACGCCGATAACAAATGTGTGAGTCCACGACATTTATCTATCAGGGTTTGCAAATATTCAAATTACTTTCCATGTGCTTTTCTGTCTGGCTTCCCCCTATTCTCTTTATTGCTGCACAGTTCACGCAATGTTATTTGTCCTGCAGAATGTAGTAGAGAAGTATAGAATCATGGATGAAACCATTCAAGATTCGATCGACTTTTCTATTTTGTTTTCAGGCTAGAGTTGTCTAACGATCTGTATCACTGATTCCTATTGACAACTAAACCAACTATGAAAGCAATGTGCCTTCAGGTGAGGATGTCGTTTAGCGGGAATGTAGCCATGTGTAGCCTTCGAAGAATGAATTAAACAAATTGGAATATTTTATTCACAGGCGATGACTAAAGTTTATAGAAAATATCACGAAGAGATTGGAGCTTTTAATGACACGAAGCTAAGGATCATCTGTTATTGATCCAGTGTTACTGCAGGAGCCTGAACTAAACTAACTTTATTCATACTGTTTCGTATTTTTAGCATTTACATGAAAATGGCATCACTAACAGGGATTGGAAGGTAAGCACGCCCTAATTTATTTTTCACTGCTGTCTTTATATCCTAAACTTTAACGACCATAATTTAACTTTTTCTTCTTTAGCCAGAAAATGTTTTATTGTGTTCCTCGTATGATGAAACGCTTATAAAGGTTTGTGTCGGTTGTGTATTGAACTTGTGTTTAAATTGCCCTTTAAATTGTCTTTGAAGAAACCATTCGATGTGACCATTGCCAGCAAATCCTGGAAGTCACTATAATCTCAATTCCGATTTTTTTCCGTGATTTCGTTTTACGAAAGCAGAGCGCATTCTGCAAACGTTTTAGGTTCAGTTATTTCTCATTGTTACAGATCTCAATGATAACAATTAATTTTTTAGATCAGAATTCCTATATGGAAACACTCTGTGGTACCCCTTACGAAAAATTCCTATAGGATCCTATAAGAATTCGTATAGGAAATTCAATTTTTATAGGAATTTCTATAGGATATTTATATTCCTATTAGAATTCCTATAGGATATTCATTTTCCTATTAGAATTCCTATAGGATATACATATTCCTATGAGAATTCCTATAGGATATTTATATTCCTATTAGAATTCCTATAGGATATTCATTTTCCTATTAGAATTCCTATAGGATATACATATTCCTATGAGAATTCCTATAGGATATTCATTTTCCTATTAAAATTCCTATAGGATATTCATATTCCTATTAAAATTCCTATGGACACTAATATTCCTGTTATAATTCCTGTGCATATTTCATAGTAATTCGATTTTAATCCACCCTTGTTTTCCGAAATTTCTGTTCGAAATTACTCATAATAGTAGTCTCACAGCATGTTTTTTTGATTGGAATTTCCGGTTTTTCAGGGTAAATAGTGTCACCCATTTTTCTTATTTATAAATCCCCGATTTTGTTATTACTTCAGAGATATTATAAAACAAGTTACTAGTACAGCTAATGTCTGTTAAAAATGTGATGCAGGAAATTTATTAAGTGGATTAAAATCAACCCATCAGGTTTCAAAACATGTCCCGTCCATCTTTTTGACAATTTTATCTGCCTATATATAGTGCTTGACGATCTTGTAATACTTACTTATCAAAGGTAATTAAAATAGGTAGAATAGTGGTAAACAACAAAAAACAAACCCAGGTTTGGAAATTTTAATTATCTACCATTCTTCAAAAGTGTTGTACAATATATAACATACATAAAATGGAAAACGTGTCGCTAAAAATTACATTACGTACACTACAATATCTCTATTTACATATATTTACATCCTATCTATATCAATTGTCATTGATGTCATAAGGAAGTGGAAAAAAGTATTTTTTCCCTTCCAATTTCATCAAAATACACTTCTTCCTAATTTGATTGGGATAAATTGCTATTTGTACAGCAGCAGGCTCTACTTCTCTCAGGAAAAAGCTTTCCACATTAAAATCGGGGTCTCTGTACAGCGCTCTACCATGCTCAATCTTTGGTTGAACCAACACAACATTATAAGTACTGCATTTGCAGTATTGCAACTCTTCCATAGTGCATAAACACTCTGGTTTAATTATTAGAAGACCTACAATAATACCGTATCTATACTGGCCATGTTCAAATGCTACATTTCTGTTCACATGTCTCTTTGCTCGAACATAATGTATACTTGAGTACAATTTCTTATCTGCAACAAATCTGGAATACATCAAGCCACAGCGCTTTTTCACTTCAACACCAATCAAATTTTGCACAGCGAGCACTTGTGATGCAGAGAGCTGGATAGCTCTTCCTTTGCCAACACCTCGAACACCTTCTGCTAGGGACACATCGTTGTCAAAAGACTTAACATCTCTCAACTTCTGAAACAGTTGGTAAACAGCGGGGCAACTTTCATCGTTGATGTATTGCTTAGCAAGTACAGGAATCCTTTTGGTAATCACGTATGTCTCTACAATTTGTCTCGGAATATGTTGCGTACCGTGAAACATTTTTTGCAATGTGTGATTGTTCGACTCAAAAATAAACGCTGCAGAAGACCAAAGAGGGCCACAATCTCGAACTGACTGAGCAAGATGGATCAACTGATGCACGTTGAATGTACAATATTTCAAGCCATACAATTTTTCAACTTCAATAACAAACTTTGTTAAACAACCTTCTGCAGAATTGATATCATTTTCCGTGATGGAATCACCAAGGAGAGAGTACACGCCGTAAACAAACAAGAAGAAATGCTTTAGATGTGTTGATGGAAGTATGCCACGGAGTATAACGAGACTGTAGAAAATGAAGCCTCTCCACTCTGATGCTTTCCAGTGATTTCTATCACTAATCGACCTCGGTGCACGGCTCATTTCCCCAGGAACTTCAATAGAATATAGTCGGGCATTGATCTCTTCTTCACTTCTACCAATGTAGAAACTTTTCTCATGCTGTCGACTATCCATCCACATGTTTACAAACTGACGCGTGACACCCAAACAGACACAATGCATGAAGTCAACAGCAACCCCTGCAATACAATATTTTTAAAGAGTTAACAAAGTTTGTTCTGTGCTAGTCCACAAAACATAATGCTCAATGCATGCTTTATCGAGGCACCCGTGGGCAAATACCCTACTTGGCAAGGGGTCCCTGAATTGGGCAAGACTATTGGGCAACAAAAGAACGCAATCAAAATCACATCTACCAAAAGAAGAAAAACATGTACAGTATATTTTTAATTTACCAGTTATCTATGGCGTAACTGACGCTTACTAGACGCACAGACCCCTGGAAGAACTTTTGGGAAATAATTAAGTATACTTTACCCCGAACTTGGTCGAAAGAAGGTAGAATTCCAACAACGGATGGTCCTTTGACTCCCTTGACATCCTCGCCTTTTTGGATTGCTCGAAGACCATATTCAACTTGCTTTTCAGCTGTTCGCATCTTTGGAGGGCCTCTGTAAGGATAATATCTGGTTGGCGGACCACCATTATCAATAGTTTCACCGGGAAACTCACACCAGTCACATCCATGTTTACCATTGAACTGTTTACAGTTTTTGACAATGGCTCTTGCTGGTGAATCGGCACTGAGAATGTGCGCAAAAACCTTTACTTGCTGTCCATCATTTTCAAACTTAAGACCAACTGTCTCAAGGGATTTGCATTCTTCAATAAATGGCTTAAGAAAAGTGTTCATAGCTGGTTTTGTTGTTCCAAACCAGAGGCCATGCAGAAGGATGTGCTTCTCTCGTAAGTGAGGAGGCAGCTCGTTAATTGCACTTTGCACTGGCCAAATTGCATAATTAGACGATTCAAAGACAGGAATTCCGTCTGTGTTCCACGTTAGTGATAAATCATGACTGCCAGAAAAGTTATGATTCTCTGCTAACTTGCCATATAGTTCTGCAGATGTTATGTCAGAGATGACACCCGTGGAATTTTTGTTCCTAGTGAGACGGTTCATTAAATGTTGTCTTAATTTTTCCTCACCAAGCAAGTCTTCAATCTGACGTTTCATGGGTAGATATAAGAAATAGTTGCCGTTCTTGGTACACTCATCAACATTAAATAGTTCCCCACAAGATTCACAATTTCTTTCCACTCTGCTTTCACCAAGGTAAAACAAACACATTGGACAATAGAAGTGAATCTGAAAAATGAAAAGCAATTTGATCAGTGGTATTTTGGGAAAAGGCCATCTTAAATGAATCCTGATGTAGTGATTGTGAAGCAAAAATGTTGAATAATTAACCAAAGACCGCCTCAGGTCCCCAAAATACCCATGTAGGTTAAACTAGAGTATTAGTATCTACTGCTATGTTAGTCCAGTTATCGGCAACAATTAGTTTAACTGAACCAGTACTATTTATGTGCCCTACTATATATTATTTCACTTTTATGTTTAACTCCAGTGATATTTTATTTTGAATAAAGCGTATAATCAGGCCCAGGTTCTTCAAAGGTGGATTAGGACTAACCCTCAGTTAAAATATGGGCTTCTGTTTTAGCTTGCGTATTTTAACACCTCTGTTTATTTTTTAAACAAAACTTCAGAGAAGTAAACTGCTATTTATAAACAGGCTGTCAGAAAGTTTACTTTTAATTTTCTAAGTTAACCTGGGGACAAGCTAACCCAGAGCTCCTTGAAAAACCGGCTTTAGGTATACATGGGGCAAAGATCTCATTGGAGGTATATACATGGGGCAAAGATCTCATTGAGATTCACTGTTACTACAAAATTTTATATCAGACTGAAATACAGTAATCCATATAGACATGCGTCAGAACCATATATATATACATGTAGATATTTTACCTGAAATAAACCACAATTAAATGCTTTGAAGAACTTATATTTCGTTGCTGGTATAGAATCTGGTAAAAGAACATTCAACAGAACCAACAGATCTTGTAGTGCCTCATGTGTAAGATGATGTCTGATTACATACGACATTACGAGAAGGAGACATTGTGCTGTAGTAACATTAGATCCTTGATAAAGAGGGTTTTCATTCAGTAAGCCTTCTTGCTAAATAAGGAAAAAGATAAACAAAGGCTATTTCAATTAAAGTTGTCTCACCAAACGCTTAAACCGAGAGATTAATAGACTAGCAGCCTAAATAGGCAAGAACTGATCAGCTCCTAATTATACTACTCATAATAAATCCCCACGGTATCAAAGTTTGGTATTGATACAAGTATCGAAGTGGTATGGTATCAATTCAAAAATGCTGATCATCACTAGCTTGTAACTAAACTGTGTGACAATATCATTTAGGGACAAAAAAAGACTTATATCAACATTTCAATGTGTATAAAACATCCCCAGGTCAATACATCTCAAGCCATGTCAAAACAAGCCAGAGTAAAAAAATGAACTCAAATAAGACTGGAATGCACACTCTCTGACTCAAGATGGCAGAACATGCTTGTAGGTATGTGAGGGTTTCCAGTCTTATTTGAGTTCACTGGAGTCGAAACATCCCCATGTGAAAATGCTCAGCCCCAGGCTCATTTCAAGACCAGGTCAAAAAATCCAAGAACAAACTGTTTAAATTTTAAGCTTGACTTCAGGAGTGGATACACCAGAGTACACCACAAGGTACACTGAAATATATAGCCAGCTATATGTCACCCAGGTTTAAAACTCAGTCAAAGTATATTCACACATAAATTTGACTTGCCTTAAAAATATCAATAAAACATTTTGACTAATAGAGGTGAAGTGATGTTTTGACAAGTGTAAAATTAGAACAGCCATACATATATGTACCTGCATATTTGTTCCAGTTTCTGCCTCATCAAATATATTATCAAGGTCCTCCCCCTGGGGTTCATGGGCCTCTGTCTCATTTAATTCAGGGTCAGGAGCATGGTTATCCTGTAAAAATTATAAAGGGTTTAAATTATTAGACTTTTATTAACCCTGTTCACAAAGTAAACTTGAACAAGAACATTCTTACATAAACGCTAAATATATATCGAAGCTTGTACCTGCAAATCGTAATCATCGAAATATACTTGTTCATTATTCAAAGCCAAAGGATAAGGATGAGTTTCGACATGATGATCAATATTAACCTCTACTAAACGCCGTTTACGCCTGTCATGTAAAGTAGATTTTGGAACTGCAATACTTGAATCTACTTCGTATTGTTTGTATGGGCCCCTATGAGGCATTTTAAAGACTTTTAAGAAATAATTAAGGTTTCCGCCATACAAACATAAAATATCTTTCAGAGCAGTAGCAGTATTGTTGTGGAATTTTTCGTTGTGTTATTGTGGCAGTGTGGTCATTAACTAATCAGATCAGTATTTCTGATTGGATATTCCCATGGCAACGCGTCGATTGTGACCAATCAATGTCTTCAAGTATGACCTCATTTACATTTCCCAGCACTCCATGCATGCCACATGGCCCACATGCGTAATTTGCGTTGACACTTGACATTCAATACTTCAGCGTCTTTCGATTGCCTTTATATTTACGATAAAAAAGTTCAACTTTAAAGCAATATTTTTGCCAAATGACGATGAAATTTGCTATGTACGAGTTTTGTGAAGACAGTAGCTGTGATGTGGGGAAAGTCATTGGATGATAAGCGAGGATGAGTCTTCCTTTAACAACAACGATTGGGTCATGAAGAAGGAAATCCTAGTACGTTGGCCAGTACAGCCGAAGGACTATTCAAAATGGGCTAACAAGCATGGAAAGTTCCCGCTGGATTTAGGATGCGCAACTAAAACCTACGCTGCTCGAGTACTAAAATTCCATGGTAAGTTTGACTTTATGTAGCTATGTAGGGTAAGCTTTAATTCCCTGGCAAGCTTGACTTTACACATTCTGTTATAGTCTTTGAAAGATTATTGAAAGTATGTTATGTATTCTTATGTTAATATTAACGCGATGAAATCTATAGATATATACAATTATTTGTTTGATAAGACGGAAAATAATTCAACTACAGCTGTATATTATGTTATTCTATATAGCTGGTCATGGCAATGGCGTCAGCCTGTCGTTTTACTACCGGTTTATTTATTTAAATTTGGCGCGCATTCCACGCACAGGATGTGTTATATATAGAAGCTTGCATAATGATCATAAATTTGCCATGTTTAGAAACTTTGTTTTCTACCGATCTAGAAGGTGCAGTGTATATGATCTGTTTTATAAAGTTTAATAAATTTATTTTATCCAAATTTCTCAATTAGGATATCTGAATGTAGCTCTATTATACTGCATCCCTAAAAAAATTATATTTTTTATAACAATACAATTGCCACCACACTTCCAGCTTTTATTACACTTGTAAACGTTCAAGGTTGCATAAGTTTTTTTTCAGCCAAAACAAAATTATTGTAGCATGATCCTCACATACTTGTTCCATCCAACAGATGATTATAATTGCCTTTGTGAGGTGATGAAAAATTATCTAAGCACTGGCACAACACAGACACCTTCAAGAGGAAGGGGGCAAAGAAATGGCAAGAGGAGTGATCGCTTAGATTATGGAGATGATAAACAACCATTAGAAGCAGTAAGTTTCTTGTTATTTTATTTAAATATACTTCGCGAACTTGTCTGACGATAACTTATTGACTATATATAAGAAAAATGCTATATTTGACTATCAAGTTGGTGCTGAACAATTTTGCATCCTTGCCAGTGGAAGAGTCCTATTAGTTAAGGAACTACTGTTTTTAACCTATTAATAGGCAGATTTGAGCATTGATGTGCCAAGTGTATATAGCAAGTTTACTCTGTAGTCTGTCTATATCAGTAGAGAATTTTACTGTTCATTATTTCAGTTGAAATGTCCTGTAAATTAATGGAATAATTTCTTTTTGTGAGTTTTTGATAAATAAAAGACAAATATTTGAATCAATTAAAAAGCAAACTTTGAGTTTTGGTAGAGCTATTCAATTTTACCCACTTTAAATATTTTATCTGATCTTGTATATTTAATGCCCTTATTCTGTGTTAAAACATATAGCCTTGTACTGTAGATTGAGGGTGTGTCTTACATGAACATGTATTTTCATGTTGTAATATAGCCTGCAAAGAAGCAAAAAACTGCCAAAAAGAAGGTGACAAATTCCATTATGTCACATGAACATATTGCCATGTTGAAGGAAAAAGTGAGGGGAAAGCAGCCTAATGTTTTTTTTGAGGTACCGATACATGTTATATGTTGTATATGTATATATTTATGAGCATTGACAATAATTAACACCAGATCATTTACTGATCAGTGAAGAGTTTTGCTACTTTATGGGTTAGCACCATTATAAAATAAATAAAATATTCCTATTCCTTTTAAAAGATTACAATTTTATTTCCACCTTGCTTTTTATGACAACTACTTAAGAGGACTAATTTAAGAGCTCAGGTTAAATACCTGTAAGCCTGAATGCACCAGTTTAGTTGATTCTGGGTATAGGTTTGAAATGCTGATGGAATAATTATTTTTATTAATTTCATAAAGGGCAATTCTCCACAATCTTCTGATGATGAATCTGGGTCAGAGGTAGATAACATGAGAAGAGTAATTGATGCGAAAGACAGGGAAATCGAGTCATTGAAAAGACAAATTGCTGATATGAAGGGTACAATGATATCATATGTCAGTTTTTTCAAAATTAATATTAATTTGATTATCTAAGTCAGAATGTGTTGAAACAGGATTATTATTTACTGAAATTTTATAAAGATAATATTAAATATATTATACCAAAATGTTTCAGCTGAAGTCTTTATAACAAGCTTTAAAAACTTAATAAGTAGCCTAACTATAATGATGGTTCTTTTTATATGTTTAAAACTTTAGCTTCAATTTTCTCTACTTAATTAAGATTGATTTATATTATAGATATGCAAATTTACAAGATGTTGTTACCCAACTAAAGCATTCAGTGGGAATATTGGATCAGTTAGCTTCAGTTGGATTCAATGCAAACAGCAGGGGATTGGTGCCCCTGACACAATTAAAGATGTTTCAAAACGTCCATCTTCACCAACTGTTACCATTGCTAACAAAGCTTCCAGTTCAGACAGTGAATCTGACAGTGTAAGTCATGTCCACATTTATACGCATAATAATTTACTGAGTGTTCAGTCAATTTAGCAGTAGAATGTTTCTGGTATTTCTTCAAATATAATTATGTGACAACAATAGACCAATTTTTATACCAGACAATATGGTTGGAGGTAATAGCATTTGTAAGGGCACCACTGTTAGTGAAATTATATTTATCATTTATTGCTTTCATTTAGATCCTGCTTTGTCCGGGTGTAGAAATAAGCAAAGGGCAAAAGAGAGTCTTATCAAGTAAACTATCTGCCAAAGATTTTGTTTATTCAGCACTTCCAATAATTTGGTCAAGGGAGGTGCTGTGCACACATTCTGTGACTGGCCGGAAGTGCAATGCACATAAAGAAAGAGAAGCAAAGCCCCAACTTGATGCTGAGAAAGTGGATAGTCTTTGCAGTATGTACATAAGTATTTTAATCATTGTTCATTTTTACTATATTTTATGAACAAAATTTATCAAATGTTAAACTATTTTTGTGATGTGATGTGATTTTCCAACTTTATGAAACTTCAACTACTATGAAACAGTTGCACAAGTTGAAATTAATTGGAATGTGTTATTTGTTTTAATTTATTAGGTTATGTGGAACAGAAATTGGGGTCACTCAAAAAGAAGTGAGGAACCTGATGACAACGAAGATAAACAATATTATCAAGTGCTGCAAACAGCAAAAAATTGTTGAACAAAAAAAATGATTAAGTATCATATATGAAACGTTTATTTATACGACCCATATATAGGTAATATATTATATGTACCAGTATTTATTTAAATCCTATTGCTTTATTTTAAATTATCTGTTGATTTAAATTAGCCCCTATTTACACTATACCGGATTCGCCTCGCATCACGAGATTTTCGTTTGCCGTTAAAGAAGCAATTAATGACTATAGTAGCAAATGCATATGTAAGCTTGACAGATTTGCCATAATTTTTTCAGTCTTTGACATTAAAAATCCTGACAGTCCATCAATATCTAGATGTAACCCACTCCTATAACATTCCAGTATAGTGTAAACGAGGCCTTATTAGGCTTATATATGTAATGTACACCCATGTCAGTATTGTAGAAAAAAGGACAGGCCCAACATTAAATTATTGTTAACATTAGAAGAAGGTATCCTCATTATTATTTATATTTGTGCCATTGGTAAACTCCAGACATTTGCAAAATATTTCT